AAGATACCACAGAATATATTGTTGTTAGGATTTTAACCCTATTGACAACTTGTAAAAGATAAAATGTTGAATGAAGAAAAGAGATCACATGAGACTTTCTCACCTTTTCTTTACTAGCCTTTTCAATCTCTCTGTTATTTTTTTCTCCCAGATGCTTGAAATGGAACCCAGTCTTTTTTAAATGCTCAATTCCTAAATTACAACATCAACCACAGTAAAAATGTATAGAAAGTATTATTTATCATTTTATTATGAATACAAATGAAATCCAAATTATAAAAACATTGTGAGGATAATAGCACATCCAAATCTGAACTGTGATTATAACTTATTATGTGATTATAACTTCCCCTATGGTGAAAGAGGAAAAGAGATAGAAATATTGGCAAGAGGGTTTTAGCTATCTATAACACTGCGTCTATTAAAACAAATAAAGCAAATTGTTATCTTTTTAGTGTCAGATTTCAGGCTGTTCTTAGAACTATTTTTGTGGTTTGTTTTATTTTTTATTATTTTGTTTATTTACTTATTTTCTGACTGGAATATGGTGCCACATGCCTTTTGTCTCAGGAAGTAGGCGGATCTTTGTGTTTTTCAGGCCAGACTAGTCAAGCCCCAGGGAAGCCAATGCTGCATATTAAGACGCTGTCCCATAAAACCAAAAAAGCAAACAATCCCCTGATCTAACCCAACCATATATAGAAAGGAAGGAAGGAAGAGAGAAAGAGGGGGGGGAAGAATGGAGGAAAGAAAGAAATGAAAGAGAGAGAGAGAAAAGGAAGGAAGGAAGGAAGGAAGGGAGGAAGGAAGGAAGGAAGGAAGGAAGAAGTAAAAGAAAGAGAAAGACATTCATATGTACAGTAGGAAAAGATGAATGGAAGGATGTGAGTGAAGTTTCCACAGACATCCATGGGTGAGAGCCTGCCCTAACTGCATTGCTAAGATCAGCTGAGAGGTGATGCACTTTATCTGCTCTTCCCTACAACCATTGCACTTATATGGGACTGGGTGGTCTTTCCCTTAATACTCCTATACTTTGGCTTTGTCCCCACCATATGCTTTCCCTAAGAGGAGAGTAACTTAGCAACTTTTTACTGCTCTAGCCCCAGAAACTCTGCCAGAGGACTCCAGACATGAGCGATCTTATCTTATAAACATAAGATAAATAACAAATAAACAAAATATTTACAAGAATCCACAAAAGAACTTTGAGAACTAAAGTCTCCACTTCTTCATGCAGGGTCAGACTGTGTCAGGAAGTTCTGTTCTATGGCCTATCCCTCTGATTCCTTATCAACAGACTTTACCACAGGGACTTTATTCTAGGCTGAGGACTTTCTAGAGTGCCTCTGGCATGTTGTCATTTTATTTTTCTCATCCAGTCATTACAAGTCTCTAATCCTAGACCAAAAAATCAAATCAACCTTACTTCATACTTTCCTCCTGGGAGTGTGGGGTTGTTTCGTTTCCAAATATAAGGTCCACTGGTACCCTCGGAAATAAGTAAGTGTGCAGGATGAGAAGAACTGTTACTTCAAGTCTGATTTTGCCACATTGGATACACAAGTAAAGAAAAATATATCATCAAATGATTAACAAAGAAAAGTCTTATCAAGACTTCAGTGGTTTCAAGCAAACTGATGGGAATTAGGTGATTACCCAGTGATTTCACAGATAACAGTTGCTTCTTTGTTATGATAATCCCCACTGCAAAGTTTGGCTCACCTGGTCTATATTTCACTTCTGGGTACCTACTGTTTCAGCTTTATATTGCTGCTTAAGAGATTACTACAAATTTGGTCATTTAAAGCAACATAACCTTTCTAGCTTCCAAGTTCTGAGACACAAGTTCTAAGGTCAGGGTTTCGGTGAGGCTGCTCTCCTCGAAGTCCTGGGAAAGAGAGAAGGGACTATCTGCCTGCATTCTTGGCGTTAGCACTTCCACTCTGAAGTTTCCACTTCCACTTCCTTATATTTGGAAACGAAACAACCCCACACTCCCAGGGGGAAAGTATGAAGTAAGGTGAAGTATGAGTTGGTGTCTTCAACTCTGTCTCTGTCTGTCTCTATGTCTCTCTGTCTCCCCCCATCATTCTCTCTTTCGATTAGTGACTGGTTTCATACTCACTATGTAGCTGAGGGTAACCTTGATCTTCCTTCCTCAGTTCTGGGATGACAAGTTTACCCCACCATGCCTGGGTTTCACACACACATACTATGGAGCTTGTATAACAATTGACATTCATAGTCATGTTATCATGCAGTCATTTCTGCCCCCTAATCACCTCTAGCTTTCCATATTCATCTTTCCTCTTAGCTGCAGATCCCTGCTCACCTCCACTGTCTCCACAGGTTCACCTTCCTGATAAGACCACATAGTAGGAATCACACAATATGTCGCCTTTACAGACAGCTTTCTTGCACTTAGTAGTATGCACTGAGATTTCCTCTGTATCATTCTGCTGCTTCATAGAGCATTCATTTTCCATAATAAAGTCAGTCTCCAAAAAAAAAAAAAGCAGAAATTTAAGAAAACACTCTTACCTCAGGCTACTTCAGGACTTACTGGCAGACCCTCCTGCCCTGTTTCCTCACCTCTGACCTTGGTGAAATGAATTCCTGGGAAAGGGCAACACATTGCCAGTTAGTGTGTCACTTCAGAAGGAAAGAGGAGGGCATGCCCTTAAAAGATAGTTGTCACATATCTTTTATTTATCCCAGAGTCCTTTCATTTTTCCCTATTTATTCATTTATTTATTTATTTATTTATTTATCTATTAATTCATTTTCATCTTGATCATAGGCCCCTTCTCTCCTCTTCTCCCAGTCCTACTCTTACAAATTGCTCCCCCGTTACTCCCTACTCTTTCTCTCAAAGAAGAGGAAATCCCCCTCTTTCTAGTTTGGAAACCACAAATAGAAGATAGGTCAAATGAACCTTCTCAGGTCAAAGCTGCTGAGACAGGAACAGCCCACCAGGTAGAGCCCACTGCCTCAGGATCCAGGGCACTAATCCTGCCACATTCCCAGATACTTCTGTAGCTATCTATAAATAAGAAAATGCCTGGCCTTAGGAATAGAAATCAAGGCAATAAACTTCACCAGGAAGAAGATAGATATCTCAGTGTATCTCACACAACTTGAGTATGAGAGGAAAGAGCTGCCAAGCCACATAACAGCATGCTCTAGCCTTTGCTTGCTGGTCACTTTGCATTCTATAAGTGACAGTAGAATTTTCAAAGAATACTTGTCTCTTATAAATGGTGTGACCATTACAATAACTTTATTAAACTCATACGCAACATTCAGAACTATGGGTGACAGTGTAAACCCTTATTCTCCAAATGAATATCCTACCTCAAAAGTTAACCTAAATCTTATAAGTTAAGCTGTTCAGTATGGTAACTCAGATCTCTCACTTACAAACCTTATAGAGCTGAATCTTCCTACATAATGCCCCAATAATACATTAAGCTCTAACTGCAAGTTTCACCTGTTAGATGTTTCATTATATCAAATTCTTAGCGACATTAGCATTTGCTAAACATCCCCAGATCATTCTTATAATCTTAGAACAAAACCAGAAATGCTACGGCTTTTCTTATTTTACTAATATATAAAAAGGATGTGAGTATATGTGTCTTTGCAGTCCAGATTGGTCTCAAATTCAAAGTCCTCCTGCTTCAGCCTCCAAGTGCCAAGGATAACTGCAGGTATGCAACAGCATATACAGCTCTATGTAAATGTAATTCTAAGATTTTAAGAAACTGAAGCAAAATTATTCATCATAGATATAGCTGTCATGTCTTAAGCCATTGTATTGTAGAGGCTTTTGGGGTTCCTACTTGAGATTTAACAACAAAGTGACAGAGACATTTGTATAGTATGAGCCTGTTAGCCTTTGTGCTGGGGGTAGTTCCTCAGATAGCCATCTAGACTCAGCCCAGCTTCCCTACCACTAGTCTCTACCATGTGGTTCTCTCTGCTCTACCTCCCTGCTATGCTCCAATTCCTCTCCAAGCACAAGCCTCTGGACCTTTATTCATCCAAAGCCCTATATGCTCTCATACAATAAAAAGCAGAGGAGCATAGTGGGAAAGGTTCCACAGCTTATTTAATCAGAACCAGGACTATGACCAGTCTATTGTTGCCTTTTGGCTAGAGGGCTATGTGACATCCCAAGGGCAGCTTGCTTTTGAACATGATAATCTCAGAGACTACTTGATCTCTCTCTTTACTTCTTTTTGAGTAGCTGGGGAATCAACAAACATTTATATAGAAAGCAGTTTTTGTGGGCTATAGAAATGACAATACCACATGTGCTGCCAATACCTGGCACTGCTGGTACAGCAATTAACAACAGAATATACAGGGGCACACATTCATAGCCACTTCATACAATATGTGTGGAGGTAGGTTACCCTAAAACCTTTGTGTTTGTTTTCCAAGATATACAAGATAGCTTTAGATTGTGGTTGCTCTTCAGCTAAGCCCTACCACTGCTGACTTCTAGAGAGAGTTCTGTCAGCCAGACTGCCTTGCTGTGACCCTTTGATGATGAACATAGTTTCATAAGGAAGGACCCTAACAAGATGTTCCAAGAAGGCATTTCTATAAACTTTGTACTGGACAGGTCAGAAACAGTTTACCTCCACCCACTTCAGCACTGCTTTAAATCGAATCAACTTCATGCTCCTTGAATCCCACAGTAAGCCATGATCTATGGCATAAACCATGTCTCTGTCTGTTTCTCAGGCCTCAGACAGTCTGGTTCCAAGGAGACAAGAAAAACTGGCAAATTCCTCCCTGGCTGTCTTCCTCCCTGGTAGCTGTCCCCTCAGAGATGTTTGTAGGCATGTTGCAAATGTTCCACATGCTGACAACATTACTTTTCTTAGTAAATGAACACAAAACATGCCAGTAACTCTTCTGACCACCTGAGAGAAATGCTTTCAAAGTTAAGCTCAAACATTAGCAATAACATAAATTCCCTCCTACAGAACCTGTCAAGTCCACATTCTAAGATGTCCTTGGAAAAAATGAAAGACCTCCACCTTGATGAACAGAACCTGCAGCCAGAAACCAGGGAAGTGAATGGGATTCTCATGTCCAAGATGATTAGTGAAAACTGGGACAAAATCTGGAACTTCCAAGCAAAGCCTGATGATCTCCTTATTGCTACCTATGCAAAAGCAGGTAGGTATAAGGATCAGCAGCAGCAAAGGCCACTTACACAAAACAAGTGCTTCCTAACATGGGCATCTGCATTAAAAGAGGACAGGTGGGGCTTTATCTAGGAAAGTCCCTGGGGAAAAAAAACAAAATAGAACAAAGCAACCATTCCAACTCATAAGGGCCAATACCCCATCCTACTGGATTTTCCTTTAATTAAGTTCTTGAAAGACAGAGATGGGGCAACCATGGCAAACTCCCAAAGACTAAGTAAAATTACAAGGTGTTCACACAGAAATTACAAAGCACAAACTGTGGGAAATAAAATGGAAATTCTTGGATTCTGCCAGCCCAGCAATCTTTCTGTATTCACCTCTCTAGCACCTAAACTGTGCCTTCTAGTGGCCTAGATTGACACGGACTTGAGCAATTGCAGCCCAGACGTAATGCTGTGAAAACATGTATACCCATTGTGAGAAAAATGGAGAATAGTTACCAGTTATTAGAATCCTAGGGAACAAAGAGAGGACTATGGGAAAGTATCAGAAAAGACAAAGAATGTCATGGGCCTGATCAAGGGGAAAAGCAAGGAACATTCCCCTTGGGGAAACATTGGTGAATGACTAGTGGGGCTTTCCCCTCTCCAATACCATTTGTTTTTGTCAACACACAGAGTATGATAGAGTTAGTAGTTTTGACACTTGATTTAGAAACAGAGACTTTTGTCATAAAGATATAGCTGAATTTTGAAAAAGGACCACTTCTGTGCTCCATATTGGTTGGCATTTCAACTCCTGTTTCTTACTGGGCCAAGATCTAGCTTAGGAGTTTCTAAACAGGGATTTGGGTTACTATAGGCTCTCTGTTTCTGTCTGGCTTTCACTGGACATGTGGCTTTCCCACATCTTAAACATGTACTTTTTCTTAGAGCAGAAATTTTTGATAAGTCTAGCTTAAAAAATATGTATCTACCTGCAAGGACCTATCACCAATGATCTCTTTCTGTCTCTGTCTCTGTCTCTGTCTCTCTCTGTTTCTCTCCCCCCTCTTCTGTTTCTCTCTCTCTCTCTCTCTCTCTCTCTCTCTCTCTCTCTCTCTCTCTCTTTCACATACACACACACACATATCTCTGGCCTTATTGTAGTATTTCTCTCAACACCTTTCAACCTCCCATAAACATTACATATACTTCCAGGTGGAACAAACTTGCCTTGGTTCCCTCCAGATAATATTTTCTACGGCTGATAACATGCAATTTGTATTCCCATTCTTCATGTCAAAACAGTCATAGTTCTACTCAAGTCTTTGAGAAATAAATAAGAAACCTCCCTGGCACTGCTCAAGGACATTTCTCCCTTCCCAGCATTCCTGTGGCAATAGCTGTCTTTTAGTCATGTTTATACCTAGTGTGTTTGGTTTATCTGTGAGAAAAAGAAACAATCAACAGTAGTGACTGTATCTTAGCAAAAAAAAAAAAAAAAATGAAAACTGCAGCCTTTAGTTAGCTAATTAAATAGCTAAAATGAGACTATCTTTTAATTTGAAAGAGAAGAGTAGATGCCCTGTCCGGTAGGCAAGAAGAAGTCTCTGTCATGTCTCCCCCAAAAGGGGAAATGCAAATGCATTGACCAATTCATCTTTGATTCAATCCACATTTGCCTGACTCCATACTTATTAACTCAAACTCCATTTATGAGGGACAAAGTAATTTATTGAATGCCAGGCAGAAAGAGGACAGAGGATTAAAAACAGCATACACTACAAGCACAAAGTGACAATGAGCCCAGAGGGCCACTAGTGCTTAGAGGAAGACAAACAATGTAATAGGTGAGTTGATTCTATCTAGAACCCAGCAAATCTGAATACAGCTTTGTTCACTATATGAGTGATTGATTAAATACAATTGAATTGTGCCATGAGTGGGTAGAACTGAAAATAATTAATGCTTCTAGGTACCACCTGGACACAGGAAATTGTGGACATGATCCAAAATGGTGGAGATGTTCAAAAGTGCCAGAGGGCCAACACCTATGACCGACACCCTTTCATTGAGTGGACTTTGCCTCCACCCCTTAATTCAGGTGAGTTTCCCTAACTGGGGTACAGGGGACTGCAATCATTGGGCGGTATCAGTTTTTACCCCAGAGGAAGATCATTTCTACAGTCTTCCTTCTAAAAAATGCTTTCAAATGGAACCAGAAAGGAGTGTGAAAGAAGCCCAGGTTAACACAACACAATTCCTTTCCTAAAATGCATGATTATGTAGCATAAGGCACATGGCCCATGGTATGCAAGCATCTAAAGTGCTATGCATGTATAAGAGATCAATAAAGTCATGGGCTACAGTTTGGACCATATGTGTCAAAAAAATCTGAAAGTTAAATGCCTGCTCCCCCAGGAAGACACTTGGGAGAAGCAGTAGAGCCCCATGCGGTTGGCCATACGTGAGATAGATTTAAGCCATAAATCCTTCCCTTTAGGAAATAATAGAACCCCAACATCTGACCCTTTTGTATATGGCTTGAGAAGAAAGGCTTTGTTCTACCAAGTGTTCCACCATAATGTGCTTCCTCAGCACAGGTTGAAAGAAATAAGGCTATTATCTGTGTAAGTTCTTAAGCCATCCACCAAAGCAGACCTTTGTTTTTCCAACTTGATCATGTCAGGCATCATTATATAATGGCAGATAATATGCACTACCTTTCCAAAACAGAGGAAAAGGAACATAGTTAGAACAAAAGCAAGACCAAACACCAGCTGAGACAACTTCCAAACACTCCATTTTCAATGTCTGATGTCAAGTACTCTTCAGATCTCCAACTCCTTTTAGTTTTGATTGACTGAAAAATACTTTTTTTTTCCTTTTGGGCTGGTTCCATTATACCTGTTAGCCACTTTTCTTGGCAGGTGTCCAATGTCATTAGCATCTCCAACATCTTGGGATTTCCATGACAATCCAGGCTTCAGACTTCACCTTCACAGCTTCATGAAATTGTCTTTCTAGGCCTCTATGTACAGACACCCCTGACATAAGTTTGGCCTCTGCCGTTGTCCTTAGTTGCAAAGAGAGATTCCAAAATTTGTTTCTTGTATTCTTGACGCTAAAGCCAGAAGCACATGGCTGAAGTTGCCAAACTCTGATGTTTACTGAGGCTGGAACATGGCTCCCTTTGTTGAATAAGTTTTCACCAGGTTTCTGGTTTGGATAGCTTCCTTTACTGCTTAAGCTTGGCTGTCCTAGAACCTGCTCTGCAGATCAGGCTAACCTTGACCTCACAGATCTGCCTGTCTCAGGCTCTGGGATGGTTACTGAGATTTCCCAATCTGTGGATGTGACTGGGTAATGAAGAGTATGTTAATCACAGGATTCTTCCCTGGGGCTTTACAATCTATGAGTATGGCAGGTTAACAAGGGCTATGTTAATCACCCTTCTATTCTCTGGGACTTCTAGATATATGGGTATATAGATCTGGAAGGTTTCCTATAGAATCTTCAGAAACATGGTAGGAGTTTTAGCTGGTTTATGCCAAACTCCATTAACCTTAGACAAATTTGTGGGCTCTGTACAGCATTATAGAGATCATTTATCATATATATGGGGGCTCCCTTACCTTATTCAGTATTAGGGTTCCATTGAAATCTGGGAGAAAGAAAAGCAGTTTCCAGAATCAGGGGGTCTTCAGAGGCTATGGACTTCCTTGCTTCCCTTCAGATCTCTGCTTCCCCAGTCCCTCCAGCCCCACTCCCTCCCCTCTTCTTCTTCTTCTTCTTCTTCTTCTTCTTCTTCTTCTTCTTCTTCTTCTTCTTCT